AGATAGCTCTCATTTATCAATTAATGTCTTCATGTAGGGCAGTAGGAAAAAATCATTATCTCTGCGCACTTAGTTAATGTACCTTCCAGTAAGTGTCCAGTCCCTCGCACGGCCTTCAGCGTAATAAGGAAAAGGGCAGAATATAACCGTAGGACGGTACAAAACATTAGCACACGCGGTCTTTAAATGACGCAGGAAAATAAAACCATTTATCAGAGGGTAAGGGTATAATTGGCCGATCCACCAAATGTCTTCCTGTTTGATGAATTGTGTTGTACTTGCTGTGTTTGGAGTTGGAGATGTGGTGATATTTCCTGCTGGCTGCTTTTGGTTGGCTGATCATTTTTAAGCCACTTCATAAATGGCTTAATTGGTGTTATTGCAATATCAGAAACTTTGATAGTGGTACTTTGGGCTGGTGTGGTGAAGTCATTAAAACCCTGCGAAACACATGAGCTTTAACTGTTGTGCGAGGCACTTAACGTCAGGTTACTCCAGGGGGGTTGTCCCTGTAGTAAATGTACTGTAAGTTTAAAAAAGCGGCTGATTAATGAATGCTAATTATGGCTGTGTTCAGAAAGGAATACTCCATACTGTTTACTGTGCAGTATACACTGAATACAGCCTAAAGAGTGTGCATTATGAAAACCTTTTCAAACAGTAGTATGCTATGTTGTTCTCTTGTCACCTCAGTAAATTAAAATGGTTATTTTTTATATAGTTTGTGTAAAATTCTTATCAAAAATCAAATCAATTAGATTACAAAAAAAAATCACAATTTGATCATTTCAGTACATCCGTTATGGTGGAAATGAAAAGTCACGTTAAGAGCACTGCATTGTGAGATACATTATTGAACACAGTGGCTGGCTGAAATTCAGAACAGAATACTAGTAGACTCTAAAAAAATAAAATAAAGTTTCTTTAGTGGTGTTGATGGTTCCATAAAGAATCTTTACCATTCATGGAAATTTCCCCTTGCACAAAAAGATATTTATAGTGAAATAGATCATTAAAATATGCTTCACAATAATAAAAATGTGTTATTTTAAGAACTGTTTACTGAAAGCTTCTGTTTGGAACCTTTTTTCAAAGAGGTTATTCTATTTCATCTCTCATCTCTTTATGTGAACTCACACCTGTAACCTGTATGGACTACATTTATGATATTTATATGGCGTTTTTGTCCTATGTAGACTTTGGCAGCATGAATCACCATCATATTTCTCACATTCTCACCTTCTCACATTTCATGAAGAAAGACATTTCTTTGGTTTAGAAGTTCATGAGGTTGAGTAAATAAGACAAAACTGTCATTATTTATTGCATTTATTCCATTTGGTTATGAAAAAAATGCTATGCTGTGTAATGTTTCTGTGACTCATACCAAAATCCAGAAAAGAATTAGCTCTTCTTTCAATGTTTTTTTT